CTGGACGGCTGCTCACTGCGGCTGCTGGCCACTCACGCTGGCTGCTGGCTACACACGGTAGCCCATGGCAACCCACTGCCACAGGGGCTGCAGCCGGTGACTCCCGGCAGCCCAGCTCCAGGTTGAGCTGTTGTTCAGCATCTTAGCTGTGGAGGGCAGTGTCAATGGCCCTCACATGTGGGATCCGAACCGGGGCCCTCTGGCATCCCAAGCCAGCTCTTAACCAATGCGCCACTTGGCCAGCCCTATCCTCAATTTAAAAAAAAAAATTATTTTGGAGTGGTTTGAGCTCTGAATTTAGAAATTCCATAAATATTTGAAATGGTCCCTCATGCAAACAATCAGAAAAGGGAAGGCTGGGAGTGGTGGGTATTTGGCTTTATCTGTCATTCTATTCACCTTGGACCATCTTCCCAGGTAAGACGTTCCTAGGTCCGGTCTTGGTGCACTGTCAGGACAGAAAAAGAGCAAAACTGACCATCGTTCTCTGTAAATAAATGAAATGAAAATCTTGTAAGATAGCAAATTCAGCCACCAGGGCTCCTGGGCTGGGCTTCCCCCATCTGGGGGCACAGGAAACCTCTGAAGGGGCTGGTGGGGGGGACCAGAAGAGGCCAAGCGATGCCCCCCACCCAAAGAAGTTGTGATCCCCTGTCCCCACACAACATGGGTCTTCCCCTTGGCATTCCCAGCGGCCCTCTAATAACTCTTTCCCCTTTACAGCCCATCCTGAAAGTGAGAGGGAAGTTGTCACAGCGGTTACCTGACATCTGAAGTGCTAAACTCAGTCTGGGCAAAGTGGCAGAAGTTAGACTGAATAGAGAAGTCATAACCCGCCTGGACCAAGCGGTGGGGATTCTGCAGGTTTTCTCTAGTTTGGGTGACTGTGGGTTCTGGGTCACGCTGCAATACGTTTGCAGCTTCCTTTGTTTTGCTGTGGTGAAGTCAGAGGCCCTGGGCTATCTGGGTCTGGCCACTTGGAGACAGTCCCTCGTCCTGACTTTGGAGGAATCCCAGAGTCCCGAAGGCGGTCTTGTGTTTGGGTGAGAACCAGGGTGTCTTGGCGGGAAGCATGGGATTGGTCTGGGAAGACCCCTCTGCCCTCCTCCTCCCTCAGGATCTGGGATGCTCTTTCCTCCTGCTTCTCTCCTGCAACTTGCAGGGCAGCTCAGAACAGAGAGAAAGGTCACAGAACCTATCAGCTTCCCTGGGAAGTTGTGGGCCGGCTTGAAGACACCATGGGGGGCCAGTCCTGGAGCTAGTGTCTGGGACTGTCCGAATTCCTGTGCAAATTGCTCAGGGCTTGGAAATTCCCACGGCCTTTCCTGGGAGCTCGGCAGACAGTAAACAAAAGTGGTCAAAGCCCTTGTTTCCGGCCAGTATAGATCCTTGTGTTTTCTTTATCCACCGTAATTGCACCCTATGGCGTCCACTGTCCTAAAGCTCCTAGCCCCATGGCGGACTTCCCACCCTCACTTCCTTCGTTATTAAGAATCTTGAAACTACCACTTGAGCTTCTTCAACTTGACTCTTTAGTTTATGACTCACCTGTAGTTTCCTTAGTTGTCTCCTTCCTCTAGGTCCAGAGGACTGAAGTGTCCTTCCTGGTTTCCAAGGTTGACCCCTCCTCGCTGGACTTCATCACACCTTTTTCTGGGGCTTGATCTCAGGGTCTCTCATCACTGGCTCGTTTACCTTGACTTACAAGCTGACCCAGGAACAGCCTCTCTTTCCTCTTCCTTCCCTGCCAGATTTCCCGGACGAGCCCATGCAAACCACCGCTGCTGTCTCCCCTGTCCTCATGTTCCAGCTCTCGCCCTCTGGAGCCTGTCGTCCCTGGGCTGACACCACCTTGCCCAACCTTGCCACGCAGCACCCACCATCGTGATCACCCCTCCTAGATAGTCTTACCTCCCTATGGGGCTGCCCTCTCCTGATTCCCCTACTTCTCTTTCTCTGCCTGCACTAGAAATTCCTTAAGATTCCATTGTTAAAGTAACTCTCTTCTCTCCTTGCCATATTTTCAGTTACCCAATAAACTTTGTTATCAATATCACAGGACTCCCAATCTAGTTCTCTAATTCCTGGCGCTTTTCAGATTGATTTTGAACATCTAGTGACCACTTCCCCCAGCCTCTTTAGGCCCACACCACATCTGTCCCTCCTCACTGCCACCGCCCCCCAGTCTCTCTGTCTGAAATCCAGCACCATCAACATTTAGCTCTTGGGGGTTCCCCATTAGATACTGTTATATCAAGCAGGTTAGTAAATTCACATGATTCTGGCAACTTTTCTTACACAGAAGAGTATAGTTTAAGAACTCAAATTTTAGTCTGAGCTAGAAAGCCCATTTTGACATTCATGGTCCATCCCTTTATAAACACACTATATGGGTGAGGGGACTGTGAAGAAAACAACCTTTTGATTCTCACAAGTTAAATATCACTTAAGCTACCTGATTAAAGTAAAACACTTACGTTTAGAATTTAGACGCTTTCATTTCTATTTAAGAACTGTTGTAGGAACATAAACTCAGGGACTCAGAAATGTTCTAAATGACTCCGGAATGCATTCACAACTTTGTGCTCAATTTCCTAAAATTTTTACCTTTCTAATCCCAAACTCAGTCCAGGTTTATGAATCAGGACTTCAGAGGTAGGTTTTCCTTTATTTCGGACGTGGAGGTGTCGCTACAATTTTTTTTCCCTTCTTCCTCATCCATTTCACAACCTGGTATCTGCCCCCTTGATAATTAGGCCCAATCTATTACCATTTGCACAAAATCAAAAGCCTAAGTGATCTTCTTCTAGATCTTAGGAAACCAAACCAAATGGCTCGCTGATGCCCCCCTCTGGCATGCGTCACTATGCCTGGAACACAAAAGGTTTTCCTTTAGGAGAGGAAAGATATTAGCCTGAAAGAGATCCAGGTGTCTTGACAACAGGTGTGGGTGTTCTCAGGCTTTCAAACTCCTACGGCAGACAGCGGCAGTTTGCATCAAAATCTGCAGGAAGCAAGCGTAGGCCAGGTATGGGAACTCCAGGAAGGAACGAAACATGCCCAAGAGTAAGAATTCCAACACATGGGAGGCTGTGTTTGGAAGGGGGGAGATAGGGATGTCCTAGAGGGTGGTGATTGATGAAGGGGGAACATGGCCTGGTGGTTACATGGAAAGGATGGAAAGTGACGCTCGCCACTGAGTGGGGGAGACCTTGGAAGCTGTAGGGAACTGAAAAAGCTGAAAGATGTCAGGAAAAACCTGAGGGTGTCTCAGACCTGCCACTATTGGGTGTATGTCCTATGGTCACCCCAACTACACTGACCTCAGTTTCTATTCTCTAAATTGAAGGACTGATGTGGAGAGGTCACTAAGGTTGTTTTTGGCAGGACGCGGATCTCTGAAATGTAATCGTATTTAGGAGGGCATCCTGACCAGAAAACAAACAGGAGCTTCGGGGTGGTTAATCCTTCTTAACGAAGGCCTCACACTGTGGTCCCTGCAGTGAGGCTCTTTGTTCCCCATCCTCTGGGAAAGAAGCAATGAAAAGTCTTGAGAATTTGGCCTCTGGTTTGGTTTTGCTTTGCTAGGTGCTGTTCGAAGGCGAGAAGGAACACAGGACGTGGTTGTTCTTTCCCGAGACCTTCTGCCTGGGAAGTACAGAGGGTGGGTTTGTCTCGGAGGTCGTACGTGAGTACACTGTCAGCACACTCTCAGCCTGTCTTGTACTTGCCCTCGGTCAGTGCACACAGTTGGGGACGTTCCCTACTGCTGTCAACTGTCCTCGCAGCCTGTGCTTGGGACCTCCATGTCCATTCTAGGCAGCCGAAGGCCCAGACAAACCTAACAATGGGGCCTCACGGGGCCAGGTGTACTTGCAAGAGCAAGATGGTTTAAAAAAAGCACCCAAATCTTCTAAAGGAAGAGGAGCAGTCTGGCATTGTTTTTTGGTAATAAATAGTACAGCCTAGAACAAAGTTTTGTTTAGGTAAGTCTAATAAAAAGTACCCAAAGGGAAAACACATGAAAAACTTTATTGTATCATACATGTCCAAATTTACATCAATTTGATATATTTCTGCTCGTTTTGTGGAACGCAATCATTGCACAATCTCCATAAATCTCTCAAGAGTCACCCTACTTTAGATCTTTTCATGCTTGTCCACCTCTGGCCTTCCCACCGCTCTCTGTGACGGCACCCTCTGCAGCCTACTGTGCCTTATGCACAGGTCCCCGTCATCCCCTGCATCCCGAGGGGCTGGCCCTGCAGCTGACGGCCAAAGCACTTTCTCTTCTGTTCTAGGGCTGAGCCCGCACCAGGCCAGTCGCTGAGCACTCGGCTTAGGCACTGTTTCTCCAGCCTGCCCACTGTTCTTTGTTTTCGATTTGTCCCACTTTCACCCCTAGCCTGAGTAGATAACTGTGGATACTCTGAGCAAAACTAACTCCAGTTAAGTTTTGTGGAGTACTCCAGAACCTAGATTTGGTGATTATTATTGTTATTTTTTAACAGAAGTGGGGAGAAGGAGGTGGGAAAACGTCCCTGGGCAGGGATGGCTGAACAGTGCAGAGTAGGGCTTAGTGCTCTGCCCCTCCCTCCTCCCCTAGGCCCGGCCAGGGCGGTGCGTGGCAGAGGTACTTCCCCCTGCAGGGGTGTGGACACTGAACAGCCACTGGGGTTTGAAAGCAAACTTGAGAAAAAAAAGGTAGTGATGAGGAAAGTCCACGAGGAATAATCTGACACGTCCTTTCTGAATAATATGCCCCTTTCTCATTTATAGCACTTATCAACAGTTATATTGTAGGATGATGCATTATAATAAAAAGAATACTATTACAATAGCAGTCATTTCCCATCTGGAGTGCTATTCAACCGCTTTCCGATTATCTCCAATTTTAATGCAGTTTAAACACATTAGAAACGAGTGACGATTCTCCAAACTAAGGAAAAAACCCAATAAGAAAATAAAATAGAAAACACATGCTAATTTAACGGCAAACTTAGAGTATTGAAACTAATTTTCAATACTCAACAGGAACGATCTTGGAATTAAGGAATACAGCAGCGGGGCCACCCTGTGCCCAGAAGGACATGAGAACATCAGCGCCAGATGGTCCATGCTGGGTCCTTGGGCTGATGCAGTAGTGGGGACGGTGCCTGCTGTGGTGAGCAGCTTGGCCACTCCCAGGGTTGTTGGCCGGGATGTCAGTGCTGTAACAGGAAGTTGGTAGCCACATTAAGGTCATTATTTGATGCTCTCAGGGCTTCCAAAGCGTCACCTCTGGAAAATCCCATCTCCATGAGCCGGGCAACCTGTACAGAAAGAAAACCAGAAACCTGATGAGGCTGACGACACTGCCACTAATACACCAGTCCCCAAATGTTCTTCACGTGAGTGTTGTAGGACAGGGTAAAAAACGATCTACTTTTCATTTCAGTGTGAAATCCGATGTGTAAAAAAACATTAACAGGCACAACATTTTAAAGTGATACTATATATAGCCAACAGATACAATTAATACAATTATTTCATTTACTCCTCCTTTTAGGACAGGAATGAGGTTCGGGGGTGGGGGTGGGGTGAGGAAGTGACCTGCCAGGACGAGCAGAGGGTGGCTGAGCCCGTGGGACTGGAAAGCAGGGCTGTGTACGCAGCCCCGGCTCACTTGCCTCCCACCACCTTCAGGGGCAAATCTGACTCCTGAGGAATAACTTATCAAGTCCCATTTCCTCACGCACGCCAACAACTGGTTCACTGAAGATTTACTTGTGACACTGGCAGACACCGACGACAGAAGTGCCTTTAAGTTCTTGGCATCACGCAGCCAAAGATGGCCCTGTGGGTGCCCGTACCTTTTGTGCGTACATGAGCGGCCACATTCGCTGAGCCCCTTGCCCTGCAGGCAGCAGGAGCCAAGTGCAAAGCGGGGCGGCGCGGGGGCAGGACCGGGGGCAGGACCGCGGGAAGGATGAAGCTGAAGCCGTAAAGGCAGGGAGGATGAAGCGTGCATTTTTTGGACCACAAATCCTGAATCTGTGAATATAGAGGTTTCCTGTACTTTTCCATACAAGCAGTCTCCATGGTCAAAATAGACAAGAATTACTAAAGTGTATTCATAACCTATTTTCCCATTTAAAAATGTATGATAAAACTATTTATGACCCTGGACGAGGCATCTACTTTTTGTACTTACATTAAACTCCACGACATTTACAATAATATATAGCAAAAAGTGATGCTCTTACAAAAGTTGAGATTTTTCAACAACATGTGTGGACTGACTGAGGACTCAGTCGCCATTTCTCATCTTGTTTTCTGTAGAAAACAATGTGTTTGGTGCTGCTCAGTGGAAAGAGAATGTGGATATTGGCCTCTTTCCCTCTCCTCCCCCTGCTGAGGGGAGTCAAGGTGCATGTGTGAGTGTGCGAAGGTGGGGGGAAGGGGGGACAGAGCAGGGCGTGGCAGGAGAGGAAGAAGTGGGCGCTGGGTGGGGGAGGCGATGTGGAGTAACGTCTCGGGCACCGCCCAGGCTCAGATCCCCAGACACCGTGTCCCTCAAGGAGCCTTAGGGAAGGGCTCACCCAGCTGAGAAAAGCGCACACAGGGGACACTTCTCAGAAGCTGGGGTTCTAGCTAGTGTTTTTCAAACTGAGGCGGTGATCCCTCATTAGTGGGTCAGGAACAGTTAGTGGGTTAAGACTAGGATTAAAGAAAAATGTGTGTAGCGAGGGTCTTCCTTCTATAAAATTTCATTTCAGTTCTTTATATTCACACATATGTATGCAATGGGCTGTGGTCAGAAACCCCTGACAGCTGTTTTCTAAAGGAACAGTCAGTCAGTGCCTGCAGGTGATTTCCAGCTCAGCTCCCTGGGTTGACGGATCGTGTGGACAGAATGGCAGGAATCTTCTAGTTTTCTTTCCCACTCAAGAATGTCATGGACATTCAGACTGGCCAAGACAGAAAGCTCTTCCTCCAAGGGAGAGACTCTGCCTCTCACTAGTTGCCATCGGTGGCACTGTAACGGCACTCATTTTGCCTGTAAAGTAACAGAAAACACTCCCTTCCCTTTTCTGCGCGAAGCCCTGCGTGTCTAAAGGCTGCCCACCTCCTCCCCTCCCCGCTCCGCTTCTCCAGGCCAACACCCTGACTCTTGGTCTGTCCCAGGCCACCTGGCGCCATGTCCCCCACCTGCACTGGTGGTGTCTCCTCTGCTGGAAGGCTCTTTTCCTCTGTCCTTGGCCTGCTTAATGCCTCTTCATTCATAGGATCTCAGGGTGCTTGGCCCTTTCCTGTGGCTCCCAGATTAGGAGGATCCCCAGAGTAGAAGTCTCATGGCCCCACTGACCTCTGTTCTGTGCTCCTCACGGCTGTGACTGTTACTTGTATTTGTAGGGTTGATTGCTTTTCCACACCACTCACTGTATTGTAAGCTTTCTGAGAATCAGGCTGCTTTTGTTCATTCTTTCGTCTTGGTACCCAGCACTTTCCAGCCCAGGTCCCCGCCACTGCCTTTCAATGCTTGCCCTTTTAAGCCATCTCAGAATACGGTACCCAGAACTGAGCACATGGCATGATGTGACCAGGGCAAAGGGCAGCCAGACTGTTGTCTGTCTGGAATTGCAGCCCTTAGTAGAGGAATGCTTTAGTAGTGTGTACACGTCTGTATTTGTATGTGCACGTGCCCTTGTGTATGTAGCTACATTGTACTGCAGTGGCCAGTTAAGTTTTAAGTTGGAGCCTGCCAGAAATGCTCAGGCATTTTCACATGAAATGATCTCAGGCCAGGCTTCTCAAGTCCACCCTATCCATTTAGACTTGATTTTCCAGGTTTAGGACTGTACACATCTCTATTAAATTTTTCCTGATTGTTTTCTAGCCCAGCAAAACTATTTTCAGTTTAAATTCTGTTGTCTACGAGGCTAATCAGCCCCTGCAAACTTGTATCATCCCCATTCTGATGAGCAAACCTCTACAATGCCATTCAAGTTATCATCGATGGAAACGTTAAGTGGGCAAGATCAAGGATAAAGCCCAGAACTCGCCAGAGAACTCGCTTCCTATTCAGGTGGCTAATCAACATTTTCTGGGAGATCTTTAACCAGTTTCAACCCACTTCACATCATTATCTGTTGTGCATGTCACCAACATATCTCTTAAGGTGATGAGATGTTGTCAAATGTCTTGGTGACATCCTGTGTCAACAGGATCAGTTTGGTGCCGTCAGACCACAACACTCCTTAATGTTCACAAGTCATCTGCTTGGTAAACTATTTTAGGCTTCTGCCAGACATGAAACATCAGTTTTGCCGTTCAGTTCTCAGAATTCACACTTTTCCCTTTCTTTGGGGGCATTTTAGACTGAGTGTTACTCACTTTGCTGCTTCTGCCCTGATACACACTGCGAGAGGGAGCTACAGTTAAGGGCTATGGTCTTTAGTGGAGCAAACGCAGCCCGGTGAGGAAGGGGGCCGCTCTCCCTGCCCTCTCTCTGTCACCCGCAAACATGACACCAGGGCCCAACAACGTGGCCATTCATAATGACTCTGAGCAGCATGGTGAACACTACACTCATTGTCACTTCTTTCGCATGTTTAGCACTTTAAGCATAGCTAAGGACTGGCTGCTTCTTCGTACTTGGCAGGCAGGAACACATCTATTTGGCAAATTTTTGTGATTTATAATCTGCAGTTAATCCAGAAAATGCTGACGGTGAGCTGGCCATACAGACACCAAGGCAGGGCAGCAGCACCCACTGCAGGCCCCAGGCCATGCAGGGCCTGCCCCGCCCCGGAGAGGGAAAAGTCCTCAGGCCTGGGGCAGCTGGAGTGTGTCCTAGGTGGTAAGGGATGCCCACTGTGAGGAGAAAAGCTTCCTTTACACGTGAGGCTTCTCGAGTTCATACACAAACAACTACTTCGCTGGTTTTCACACCTAAGCTGGGTTTCTTGCAGGTCTTTGCTGAAGAGAGTGTTTGCTGTTACAAGCTCATAGAGGCTGGCTGTTCATCCTGGCTTTGCAGCTTTTTGTGTTTTTTAGGGGTGAGAAGACAAGTGTGACTGGAAAATTTTCATTGCTGGTATTTTTTTTTTTAATTTTATTGGGGAACAGCCATGGTTGTTGGTTATACATTGCTTTCATGCTACAATGGCACAGTTTTAGGGAGGGCGCAGCTCACAGTGGCTCATGCTGGGGATCGAACCGGCAACCTTGGTGTTATCAGCACTACACTCTAACCAACTGAGCTAACCAGTCACCCTCATTGCTGACCAGAGGAAGAAACCTAGGAAGTAGAAATAGTGTTAACATAGTTCTTCTTTTAAAAACAACTGCACTAAGGAAAGGTATCCATAAGTTTTCCCTAGTGTCCAAAACTGTAAACATCCATGGAAAAATGAAATTGCATATGCTTGGGCTTGGGTATGTGGATAATAATTAGCCATGAAAGACAGAAATAAACAGAGGGGTTCCGACGGTATTTCCTAACTGCTCCCACCCCGCAGAGGAGAATGTATGGATGGGGCCCCCACGGCACTGAAAGATGGCCACGCATTCTATTGCTGTCTCTTCTTTGGATGGTTCAGTGGTTCACAGAACAGATGATACGGAATGGGGCATAACCCAGCAACACAGAGAATAGGCATTTACAGCTCTCTTGGATGGATGCTAACAATTAGTGCTGCAGACCTTAACATTTATCTGTGTGGAGAGGCCAACTTGCCCAATCCTAGCACAATTCGTTACTGTTTCTGTGTGACGTGCTTATTAGCCAGTGACACATGAGTTCCTGTGCTCAAATGGCAGAAAGAGAAAATTGAGGCCTAGGCAGACCAGTGGTCAGGTAAGCAAAATGTAGACGGGGTTCCACACATTCGCAGTTCCTTAAAATAAAAACACAGGGGAGACTGGCAGCTGTTTTAGATCTGACCCCAGTGCAAGAGAATCATCACAGGTCCTGCTGCTGGCATGTGGGGACCCGGTCAGTGGCAGGGAGAGCCTGAGCTCTGGAGTTAGGCTCCAGCTGGCCATGTATTCACTGTGTGACCCCAGGCAGGTGACTAAAGCCTCAGCTTTTAGTTTTCTCACAGTTTTGGGGGTGAGAGATGCACGTGTGAAAGGTCTAGAACAGTGACTGGCACACAGCAGGTGCTCAGTGAGCATTACCGCTTATGATAATTATTATCCTGCTGAACAGCGATTGGGCCAGGCCTGGGTGTGTGAAGATCCCTCCCTCTGAAACTCTCAGGCCTCAGTTCACAGACTGACAAAACCGACAGCGTGACGAAACCACCCTTGGGTTTTGTTTTTGGCA